AAATGTCAGAAATTCAAAGATAAGGAAGGAACATGCTGGGAAACATTTATAAAGAGAAGGTTCATGAAAACTCGACTAGGCTGCGAGGAGAGGAAGTGGGAGACTGAAATACAGAAAGTAACTGGTATTAGGGATTAAAGTACTGCCGTACAGAAAGAAATAGTATTTTTCAGCATTATCAACATGTAAATGTTTACTTAATGTTTATAATGCATTTCTTAATAAAACAATATTCTCACAGGAAGGTGGCAGCCGTCTCCGTGCTGGTTTGCTTATTCCATCACAGAAGTACTGTGTCCCAGACGTGCATTGCGCACCGTGAGAACAGGGGCTGCCGAGCAAGGTGCTGTCATCAGTGCCGCACTGGAGGGCAGGGCGTGAAGGGCAACGAGCGGACTAAACTGTCAGGGTGGTGCTGAGGCAGGAACATGGGGCCCCACAGGGGATGGAAACTGATGGCGGGAGGCACTGCTGTTGCCTGAGGCAGGTAGAGGGACTCAGGGCGTGGGTGGCACAGAGACCTCGACCGGGAGGACTCCTGTGTACAGAATGGGACACAGAAAGAACACAGATGCTTGGGGTGCTGGCCTAAGAGGCAAAGCCTCTTGGTTCTCTCAGTTCTGCTGCTGGCAAGCGAGTCTGGTGTTCCAGTGATGAAACGAAGGTGAAATCAATGAAAAGCATTTTGTAAACTATAAATATGGCAGCAACTGCTACCAATTTTACTGGTTCTATGATGAAATCACTCCTAGATTTTGAAAAGATACTTACCAAGTCAAGCGAAACGATGAGACAATGAGAAGATAAAACCCCTTGCGCTTTAATATGGATCTGAAACAACTGCCGCACAAACCAAGGAAACGTGGCCCTTAACACACCAAAAAAACTGCACTTTCTGATAGGCTTTTCAGAAATATTCACAATTAATTGCAGAGTTACTTTTGCCACTTGGAGAATCCCTAAAACTCTAGTAATGTTAGAAAGAAAAGAACACCGTGATTGCTGGCATCTTTTCCAACTCTATCACTGTACGATTCTTAGAGGAAGAGACTTCAGATATAATTCTGTCCTGAATATTAAAGAAGCCCGAAGGAGCAACTAGGAGCTTTTCCCAAATACCCACCTGTGCTGAGGGTGAGGGTTTTGAGGCCACCCAGCCCCCACAGCGCTCCGCAGGCTGTGACGCACTGCGAGGCTGCACGCTCTCTACACGCGCAGTTCTCCAGCCCGACCTCAAGTTTAGTTTGTTTCTATTCAAAAACTGATAAAGGGATGACCTCATCAGATCCCCAAGAACCACCCTCTGGCAAGAACATCATGCAACACCTTGTTTAAATTCATTTTTAGGGCAACCGGAAGCAGGAGGACTTCCTCACTCTCCTTGTCACAGACAGCTGCACCTCCTGACTGATCTTAGAAATTCTGCTCTTAGAAATTTTCATTTAATGGATTCTCCTCTATGAGACAGCTTCAGTGCTCATAGACAGAACATCTGCCTTACTTAAGATGCTTTTGTTTTTTAATTAATAAGCAAAACAAGTACATTTGCTGAGAAACAATGTGCAATTTCATTGTCATGGTCAAGGCTCAAAAGTTTTAATAACTAGCTTTATACTAACTAGGCAAAATTTTCTTCATAATATTATGCTGGACATTCAAAGAATAGTTCTGTGTCAAAGATGCTATTGAGAAGAAAGTACCTTTAGAAATATATGTAGTATGATCACTTTGATTCCTTTGTGAAATAAACGATTTCAGTCTTTTCTGAAAAATGTGAACAAATACACAACTTATACCGTAAGTAAATCAGGAAAGTGTTTTTCACCTAAGAAAATCTGTCACCAAAAAGTTAACTGAACTGTTAGAAGGACTTGCTAGCTCATAAAATCTCAAATTCACTGAATCAAATATGAAACCCAGTTAATAGGTGTATTAAATAGTCAATCAAGGACACTTACTCTGTTATTAAGAAACAAAGGTTGAAAGTATTTGCTGGGATTCTAAAAGATATGTAGAAAGCCAGGCATGGTGGCACATGCCTGTAATTCTAGCACTTGGGAGGCTGAGGCAGGCGGATCACTGTGAGGATTTAGCTCAGTTGGACTTCGCCTGCCTTGCAAGCGCCAAGGACCTGAGTTTGATCCCTGGAGCCAAAAATACCCCCAAAACAAAACCAAATATAAATAAATTTTAAAAATAAAATTCAAAAATATCCAGAAATAGACACCAAACTGAAGGCCATCTTTTCAGGATTCAGACATTAGGGCTGAGGTGGGGCCAACAGCAGCAGGTAACTTCCTGTCCTGGATCATGGTGTGAACTTCTACTCCTGCTCTCACCTCCACAGGGTGGGAACTGGGGAGAGGAGAGGCAGAACACACCCTCTAGGACACAGGGAAGTGGCACAGGGCCCACACGGCCGCCGCTGTGTCTACAGCTGCGTGCTCACTGCACGTGCACCTCGTGTGGCAGCAGGATTTCCAGGCAGACTTGTCTGCCCCGATATATACTGCACTGCACTCACTCTAACGAACATCAGTGTATAAAACTCTAGCTTCCACTTCAGTGCTAAAAACAATGAATGCAGAGGTGGCACGGGACAGAAATCTTTTCTCACTTTTTCCTACAGTGTTGGGATCTAACCCAGGGCCTCGCCCATGCTAGGAAAGCAATCTGCTACTGAGCTACACCCCCGGCCAGTACAGGAACATTCTAGGTAGCTGAAGCAGGCACACGAACTAACACTGCTGTGGCACTGTTCTGGTATACAAGACAACTTATGTAAGTTACTTTCTGCACTCAAAACAAAGAGCATAATTCTTGACTGATAATCAATCTTAAGGACATGAAATAAAACAATCTACCTGAACTCTGAAATAGGCAGAACACTACAGAGATATTATATAATCTGTATGTAACTGTCCTATCCAATCTTTTCAATTATAACCTGTAACTATGCTAATTAAAGTCAAGAACTCACCAAAATTAAAGTACTAAATCTGGGGAATTATGAAAGATTTCTTTATCTTTCTAAATTGGTACTTTCTTGGCCTTTGTTTTCTCATGCTCATAGAAGTATTTTTTACAGTAACTCCTAATTTTTCAAATGAGAAATACTACCCCTCATTTCTAAATTTTTTTTGAGAATGAAATATTCTGAGACATGATCAAAAGCACCTTTCCAGTGTGTAAACAAGAGGATTTAAAACAGTCATTTTTATCCTAACATCTAAAAACCATCAAAACATCACACACAAAGCTTAGGCATTTGTGTGGTTATTTTCCTTTATGTTAATTTTGATACCTTCATGGAAGTCACCAGCTTTTCAATGTATTACCAGAAACAACTTTATTAAGTCTCAGTCAGTATTTCAGTTTAAGTCCTTCTTCACTTATCGAGACTTCTTAAAATTAACATTTCTCTTAAGATCTTTTTGTACCTAGTATTTAAAACAAACTCATTTATATGCCAGCAAGCCACCTCACAAATGAAACAGCTAGAAGTAGTTTATCTTTTAAAGTATCTGGATGTAGGCACAGTTGTGACAATCAAAGGAGTAAACCCAGAAGGAGCTGGTCTTGATCGTGGTCACTCTAGGGATTCTACATACTGCACACAGTACAGGATCAGTTGTAGATACCAGAGTCCCTACAAACCAAGTAATTCCTCTAAGCTGTTTGTAACCGCTTATCTGAAAGTCTGGAGAAATGCTTTAAGAGACTGACCGCGCAGTGACTCATCTGTCGCATCTCAATGTCAGAAGGGAGAGCTGTTATTAAAGACTTAGGAGAGGGGGAGGCAGAACCCAACCCAGGTCAAACATGAGAGCAACATCGGCTCTGGGGGAAGAACAGGTAATTGGAATAAACAGGATTTCAACTTGATCAATGCCATATTACTCTAACCATTAACACTATAGGAAATTTTTCTAAAAACTGTAACCAGTTAAAAAAAACCGTAACCCAGGAAATAATTGCTTGGCTGTGAAATGCGGGATAAGGTTTATTATAAGAGCACAACCATAAGTTAACAATGACATTAGTGAAGTAGTTACCAGAGTGACAGAAACCAGTCATCTGAGGTATCCCTTTTCTTGATTTATTAATTTAGCACTTTTATCAGTTACGGTCAGTTTTTTGATTGCAGCTTTAACTTTTTGCAAATTTATTATATGCATGTGAAAACCAGTATTATAACCTTTCTATATTCTAAATAAATATTCAATTCAAAATAATAATTATATAAAGTATCGCTTCTCAGCCTTTTGGCTAAGATCAAGGGTAGTATCCGTTCTTATCAGTTTAATAATAATATAAAGTGACCTTAATGAATACTGAAGGAATTACCTGTCAAATTCCTTAAATAATAATTATTTAATTTTTTAAAATGATGATGCTGCTGGAGATTTAGCTCAGTGGTTCCACTGCCTGCCTTGCAAGTGCAAAGACCCAAGTTCGATCCCCAGTACAAAAAAAAAAAAAAGATGATGATGACACAAGAGTGGGTTAGGTTTATTTTTGATGTTTACTGTTTTCTATTTTCTCATCTGATAAATCTTCCTTGGTGGTACAGACTATATGAAAAGCCCAGTGCACTTTCACTACAGTACAAATTGTATTCACTTCAATAACAATGCTTGTATGGACAGATAATTTTGGAAAACTGAAGCAGGGATTTAGAAGAAAAAATTTGATGAAAGTCACATGATATAGAAAAGCCAATTTTAACCTAAAGTGCTGAAAGAAACCAAAATCAAGAAATCCCAATTAAACATACACTGCTAGTAGATACTCATTCTCAGGTAGCTCTCTTTGCATATAACCCAAAGTAAATGTCAGTCTCTGTTTTTCCATTACTTGTAGCACTACAAGGTATCCAAACAAAATCCATGTGACATTTACAGTCTGTTACAGGCTGTTCCATTTAAGGTCATTAATACCCATTACGTGGAAAGGGACACTGTGTCTCTATGCCACAGAAACCCCAAATCAGTACAAACCGGGATAAGAAGAAAGCAGCGTGCCAGAGATCCCTGAAGACAGCACCCATGCCGAAAGAGCTGCTTGGACCATGGCTTGGGACTGCGCCCTCCTGCGTGTTATCTGTGGTGCTGGAACCGTCTCCTTCCCTGTGCACCTCCAAGTGAGCTGCTTTCCTCAGTTTCCTTTATCAGAAGAGATTAAGAGTGGTAGGTAGTTTTAAAACTTCCTTGGTATGGCAGCACATTCAAAATTATGAAAAACATAAACACAGGAACTTTAATACATAATAAAATTCAAATTTACTGGATAAATTTTGCCAAATATCACAGTACATACTCAGTTCTATATACCAATTGTATAATGATGGTAAGGCATTGTTCCTGGCTCATCCTGACAGTTTAGTGGAGAGAAGGCTATAAGGATCACTCTGGACAGATATTTACACAAGCATATCTTCCCTATCTGAATGACACTTACCTGCAGACAGAGGAGAAAATTTAGATTGGAGAGAATTATAATCTGACTTATTGGCAAAACAATTTATCTAATGTAAGTATATCTTTTAAAGAGGGGATGGCTTAAATGTCAACACCCAAAAGCTGTCACAATCACTTAGAAATGATATCAAACAAGAAATCGCTCAAAAGACCCTTGAAACAGAATTCCACTGCCTTTAATGGCCATGAGACTCACTATATTTACTTAATCAATAAGCATTAAATGCTTTTAGCAGCATTTAATAGAGATAGCCAGAATTATTTTCTTGGCTGGTATTTTTGCTCAGGCATCACAGAAATGTAAGACTCTGTGAGCAGAAAAAAGAATTCTAGGAATTCTAGCTCACATATATTCCTGAGCCCAGGCTTAGGTGATCAAGAATGAGCTTTCAAAACAAAAACAGAAACACATGCATGTGGACTGAAAATGGCCTTGAAGCAAATATGGAGTGGGCAGGGGGGTGGCAATGCTTTGATTTGCTCAATGCTTTATTTGATTTGAAAGAGAAAGTTTACCAGATAACATTTTATTGCACAAAGGTAAGGGCAGTCAAAAACAATCCTAGATTTCGACTAAGAGATGGGCATGGGCCAGTAATTTAGCACAGAGGCACTGCATCTGCCTCATAAGCACAAGGTCCTGAGTTCGATCCCTGGTACGAAAAAGAAAGAGACATCAACAAAAAGATGACCATCCAACAGGCAGTACCTTCTTCTTTTACCACTGGTACTTAGAGGAGGCTTGGGTGTTCTCGTGGAAACAATCTGGCAGTGCACCGTTCCCAGGAGCAGCATCAGCCATATGGGCCCAACCACTTCTGTCAGAGGTATGCTGTGTGGGCTGGAAGTGGACCAGAACAATACTACTGCGGCAACTACAGAAGGGAAAGGAGGCATGGTCACAGATCTGAGAGGTACTTTTCAAACTGCTCAGTTACTTCCTGTCAGATTCCTTCTCTAAATTTAAACAAGTTTAAAATGTTACTCCATACAAGCTGTTTATATTATTATTTTTTGCCACAGCTTCTCCATGGAATTTGGCAACATGCTCTGGGACTGAGAGGACACTCTAAATAGTTCTTAAAGTACACACCGGATGATTGCAATGAAAACTAGATGCATGCAGATTTAAGAGCGCTTCACTTTACATCACAATCAAAAGAACCATACCAACCTCAGGTACATTTATTATTAAATTCTAAAAATAAAGAAGTCTACGACAGCGTATGATAACCCTAAAGAGTATGTCAACAGAGGTCTCTGGGACTATGTAGTCAAGATTACAAGCATAAGCTGGGTGTGGTAGCACACACCTGTGATCCATGCACTTGGGAGGCTGAGGCAGGGCCAAGAGTTTGAGGCCACCTGGGCTACATAGTTAGTTTGAGGAAAGCCTGAACTACAAAGCAAGACCCTGTCTTAAAAAAATTTTAAAAAGCATAAATTCACTTGGGCACTATACCCCCTTCAATGGTAACCATTACCATGTGACAGGAAATCCTGTTTATGCCAACCCTGCATACCTCAGACTTTCTCAACATAAAATCTCCATACCTTTTGGGAGTCTCCTGCCTTCATCAGTCAATGAAAGTCTACCCCCCCACAAGCATGGGTATGTAATCTACGTTTGCCACGATTTTAGTAATTCTGGGTATAAAAGATAAAAAGACAGCCACATGGCCAATTACATACAGGGCAGTCAGAACTTCCCAAAAGTGCAATGAAAATGAGGCGCACACAATGCAAGGGCGTTCCCAGCTGGCCCAGACAAAGTCTGTTCTCTTCAACAGAAATAGTAAGGCTGCAGAAATATGAAATTGTCAGGGGTTACTTCTGCTGTCACCCGGAAAGGGCCAACCTGGAACACGACCAGCAAGGACAGTGGAGTCAGCAGAAAGGAAGTGAGGGTGTCATCTGTGCCTCCAAACCTCGCCAAGCCTGAATCCAGGGCCTTGGAGAATCTCATTTTGTTTAAATGGGAATATTAGGTGGTTTCTGTTAGTTTTTAAACTATGATCATTGTATTGTAGTAGCATATTTTGAAGTAATACCTACTAGCACAGCTGAGGTAAAACATCGTGATGTATATAATTTCCTTTAAAGGATGTACATGGTGGTACACTCCTGTAACCCCAGCACTCAGGAGGCTGAGGCAGGAGGATTGCCACAAGCTTAAGGCTAGCCTGGGCTACACAGTGAGTTAAGGCCACTTTGAACTACATAACGAGACCCTCAAAAAACCAACCTCCCAAAAAACAACAAAAACCTTTAATAAATTAGATTTGCTATTTAACAAAAATTTTAGTAAAAATTATAATTATACCTACAAAATATCAGATAATACAACATGAAGAATTTTCATGTAATATACATTACTAACAAAGATAAATTTTTAAAAAACATTAGAAAGTTGGTAATACATTTAATTTAATGCATTCTAAGAATCCACAATTAAAAATGTTTCATAAACAAATATTTACTTAAGCAGTAATTACAATAGCAAAAGACAACAAACAGCTTAAATACCCAATATTGATATGAATTATTTTCTAGAAATTTTAAATTATGTATAAAGGCTCTGAAACTTGTTATGACATTATGCAAAAACAACATACAGTTGTTATATAAAATCATTTATAAATGTTGCAAACTAAATCAAAAGGTGAGATTATGGGAAGAATTCTTTATCCTCCTTCAGCTTTTTCTATATTTTCCATTTTTTTTCCTTTCATGAGATATATATGTATCTTTAATCACACACAAAAAAGGGGCTGGATTTAGCTCAGTGGTAGAAAACGTGCTTAGCATATTCAAAGGCCTGAGTTTTATCTCCAGCACTACTAAACAAAAACCAAACAATACCACACAAGCCACACAGTCTGATAATATTAACCATAAAACACTCACAGTCTATTTCCTTTCATATATATAAGATGTCCCCTGGCTTTAAATCAACTTTAAATAAAATTTGTAATTTCGATTTCCTTTTTTCATTTACATAAAAGATAGCTCTTGCTCTGGAGATTTGGCTCAGTGGTCCTGCCACCTGTCTTGCAAGTGCCAAGGGCCCGGGTTCGACCCCCGGTACCCCCCCGCAAAAAAATCTCTTACATAGACTATTGATAAAACATGAATAATCTTTCAGGATTGAAATCATGCTTTAAAAAAATATTAACACTAAAAAAGAAAAGCATCAACCAAATTAAAGGAATTGCTTTGTTAGTGTGAAAGGCTCTTCGAAGTTGTTTCTCCTTCAGTCTCCGAATGCTCTGAAGTGTTACACACACCATGGTGTCCACTGCTGCTGTGCTGGCGGAGTAGGCAGTGTATGTAGGTCTGGGATCACACTGCTTAGGCCACCAGACTAGGTGACCACTGGCTTTGGAACCTCAGTCCATGCAGGTCCATGACTATGAAGCAGCATAATAGACCCTTGACTTATGAACCCAATTTGTGCACAAGGACCGGTTGTAACTCACATCGGTGAACTGAAGGCCCAGGCTCCTCTACACAGCCTTCACAGTCTGTCTCCTGTGCACAGGCAGATCTCAGTGTCCTGAGAGAGACCTTGGCCCAGGATTTCTCACTTAACCCCACACAGGAAGGAGGTTGTCAGGTTCCTTCCAGGACTCCTGAGACAACCCGGAAGCACAAGCAGCTGGCATTTGGGTTATAACTCAAGACTCTGGTAGGTAAAACTAAAATTCCAGTCATAGCCCAAGGTGTTTATATGTAACTTGAGGGTTCACTATACTAGTAAATGTCACTGGGCTGTTGTAAGAATTAAAGAAGAATCTGAGAAGGCAACTAGAAGAGTGCATAGTATATAAAATTTTAATACAAAATGAGGGTAGCAAGATCGCAGTGAAATAAGGTTCAGAAAAATAAATCGCGCCTTAGGTAAGAAAAATAAACTTGCATAGGTTGTATAAAAAAAGGAGGGAGGGTTGGTGCATTTTGATGAGATTTTGCTTCTAACTTTTTTTTTTGCTTCTAATTTTTAAGTCTTCTCAATTCCTATTTTCCTTGAGCCACCCACAAGTTAAATTTTTATAAATCATACTGAAAAATATCTGCTGTTTTCTCAAACATGATTAATACCAAACTAGTTTTGTGACTGGCACACTCATTTCACACTTGGTGATAGTTAATATGCTGTTTAGAAGAAGCCTTGGTAACCCAAAAATATAATATCCTGAAAGTTCAAAGTAAAGTGCATTTCTATCACTTAATTATACCTTGAAGAAGATAAAGAACGAGGAGCCAGAAAAAGATGACCTTCGATGTTACTTGTAACCACCACCGGAAGAAAAAGGGAAAAAATACAACTCGAACAATTCCTTTTCTAGTTAGAGAAGTCCAAGGACTTTCAGGCTTTGCCTTAGCAAATGCAGACCCTGAAAAGCAAGTAAAATACAATGACAGATAACATTTACTTTTCTTCTATTTCACTACAATCTTTCAATGTTTGAAAAACAAAAATATCATGTACTTTTATTATATTCTGTGCTATGAATGAGAAACATCCATTTGAAGCAGTAGTCACTTTAAAACATATCATATTAACTGGGATACCTGGAAAAGGATGAATTCAAGTAACAGAAGTTCTCCCACACACTGTACAAATACAGGACAGTAGGACAGTATCGAAATCTTAGTTCCAGTTAAGAATTATAAACTATTGCTTTAATTTTCTTAACAAAGTACTTTTAATTTTTCTAACAAAGTTCTACAGTTTGCCAAGCAATACAAATGGCTATTTTTTATACTTATTTCTTGGAATGATCTTTAGTGGTAGGAAAGACTCCTTAATGGAATTTAAATGCCCTATTCTCTCATCTTCACAGGATGCTTGTCCTCATTTAGGTTCATATTGGTTTTATGTCCACAACGTATATACCTAATCTATTTCTTCCTTCATGCTCAGTGTCTACTTGTATTATAAATTTATTTACCCAGTACTCACCTCTTACCAGATCAACATCTATGAGGTCTGGCTTCACGTGTGCGGTTTTCTTTGGTTTATTCCTTAACCCCTGTAATATATTAACAGTAACACTGGAATTTTACATATATATATTCTTTTGGTCAAGAATAGCAGACAAGAATCAACTTCCAAAGATTTCAATTTAAAATAAAATCTTTAAGTAAAACACTAGACACATTGTGCATTTGTTACAAATGGAACATAACTGCAGCACTGTGATACAGTTTTTACTCAAAAGATAGGTCTGGAGTGGTAACATGCGGAGCCTCTACACTGTAACATCCTGATACAAAATTCTCACTACACCCAGCAAATCTGGGTCTAGACCCCAGTGGCTCTGGAGAGCAGAGCGCAGAGGCTGTGGGGGAAGCAGTGGCCACAAGGGTCTTTGAGGGGTGACACTGAGCTGGGCAAGTGGCTGCAGAAGGCCAGGACCTCAGAGCCGAGGGCCAGCCCAGGATGCAGATTTCTCAGCAGATGCTAGCACATGGCCCCGACAGAATGATGTGTTGTGTGCCTTAGAGCTGCCAACTGCCTGGAACACAGCGTCCCCTCAGCCCCTCAGAAAGAGATGGGCTGATTGGGAAGAACAAGCAGGCAGGAAGGTTGTTGTGAAGTGAATCCATTTTTTAACTTGAAATTATTGAACATGGACTGAGTTTACATTTCCCATCAGTACAGAGTGGGAACAGGAATGGGAGTCAAAAGTAGTGAGGGGAAAACTCTGGAAAAAAGAAATCACAAATTACTTAAGACTAGTATGCTGAAAACCAGAAGAGCTTAGGCTAAACTCCTTAGATGCTAAGATGTTCCAAAGGTTTAGATGATTTTTTTTAAATTACTCATTCAATTAAGTAAGCAACTGTACATTAAATCCTTTCTTTGGTCCTAATCCCAGTAAGTGCCCACCCCCCCAAGTTAAAATCAGATTAAGATGGCATCCAAACAAGCAACAGGAAAGCACTTTAAGTCAGAATTAACTGAGATGTTCTAACCAAGACTAACCAAGATGCAATTAGCCCTTGAACTCTTGCATATATACTACCCATCTGAAGGCTCAAACCATCCAATGACAAAGCAAAAAGGGAAAGGCAAAAGGCAAGAAGGCAAGAATTGAAGACACAGCAGCAATAACTTCATTGTAGTTGAGTGCTGTACCCTTGGATTCTGTATTTGGAATTCGTTCTCTATCATTTGTACCCTTCAGTGCAAATTCTCAGTGCTTTTATCCTCACAGGATGAAATGAGCACAATGGGGGAAAAAAATCCCTGCCAGGGCCACAGGAGGTGACATTACGCCTTCTTGTTTCAGCTTTCATTACTGTACACAAGTGCTCTTTTCAGTCTATTTAGGGTATGTTTCCCACATATTTGTACTTTTTGTTGGCAACTCATTGCTTAAAATAACCCCACACAGTACTTCAGGGTCTTGTGTTTCCCAAAGCAAGAAGGTTGTCATACGTCTGACAGAATCTGTCAGACAACCTCCACTTAGTCATGAGCTACAGTGCTCTTGGCCATGAGTCACGGCTAGAGAAAACCAACAATATGTATAGTAAGTAAGGTTTCTTTACACAGAAACATATACAAAACAGATATAGACCAATTCGTCGACAAATGTGACCAAAGGCTTGCAGGAACCAATTAGTTCCCCTAGCAGCAATGGTTTAGTATTACTAACTCAGTGTCAATGGTGTCCTCAAAGAATACAACTACCATGAGTAGTAAGAGTCAAATGACCTCATTTCCATCTTAGTGTCACTGTCGAGTAGCTGATACATTATAAATCATTCCTAAGATATTTTACTCTCTCTTGAAAGCCAATTCTAGGCATTCATATATTTAAACAAATTTCATTACAAGAAGCACTATGTTGACTTGCTGCGAAGTTTATTAGAATAAAATTTATTTTTATTACTATCAAAACTTGAAAACTAACATTTTCATTTACTTTTCTAATTATCTATTTACTTGAAATAACTGTCTATGCTTTCTGATGAATCTGAAGCAGAATTTACTATAAACCTAAAATTTTCAGCAACACTGTTTTAAGTCCTTGTTAGAGAAATGGAAAATTATTGTGATTCATACAACTATGTTGTTTTTCCAACATGCGCATTATACTTGACTTTGTGTAAATGTGTGGTTCATTTCCCATTTTACACCCTATTAAAACACATTTATTTTGAGCTACACAGTATAGTCACACCATAACTGACAATTTCAATAAAACTTCCCCTTGAAGTTATCAGAATGTTTAGTTTTTAAAAAGAAAAATGGAAAACTTTCATTGATAAATCAGTGATCATTTTAGTTATAAAAGATATTAGCAACATGTAAACATTCATAAAACATTTTAATTAAGCTGGTAATTTTTAATTGATACAAGCAGAGTAGCACAGCTTTCAGTGCTAGCTATAATCATGAACCAGCACAAAACTTAAGTGAACAAAAATTGAAAACTAAATTTCTGAAAAGAAGCAAATTTTCAAACTATTCATTTATATACAAGCCAGAAGGGAGAAACAAACAGTACAAACACAATTAACCTGCAAGAATAAAAATGATATATTCTTTTCGAATGCACATTGAAACTCTTACAATCACTGCCATAGTACAATGACTCAAACAGTACAAAGTTTTGTGTTTTTAATAAATCTCTAACTGCACAGGTGATGTTGTGCCAAAATATGAAGAGGGCTGTTAAGTTCACAAAGTAGTTCTGTTGGATGACCTAGACTCTTGTGCTTACTGGACATAGAAGTATTATAATACTTAGACTCAAACAAGGACCTAAACTTCAGCTTTGCTTTCTGGAAATATTATCTAGTTTCCCTTCATCCCCTTTTACCTTTCTGGTGATTTCATAAACTTTTTGTTGAAGCTTTAAAAGTCTAGTAAGTACTAAAGATGAAAAAGCATGCGTTTACTTTTTTTTTTTTTTTTTTTTTTTTTTTTTTTTTTTTTTTTTTTTTTTTTTTTTTTTTTTTCAGATTAACATGCAGGCAGCCAGGGCATTTACTTTTTAATTGCATGTATTTATGGGTACTATGTGATGTTTCAGTGCATATATAAATACAAATGTGCATTGAAATATACATATATCATAATATTCAACTCTCAAGATACATATTTCCTCAAACACTAATCATTTCTTTGCAGTGAAATCATCCCAAATCTTCCTTCTAGCCTTTGGAAATCCACAGCACACTGCTGCTATCTACACTCACCCTACTATGTAAGAGCAGTAGCCTAGAGTATCTAGTTCCTGACTGTAACCTGGTAGCCACCTATCAACATTTCTCAGTCTCCCTTCCCCTGCTTTCTACTGCTCTGCGGTTGCCATTCTACTCTCAACTTCTGTGAGAGGGTCTTTCTTCTAGAGTTCACATAAGTGAGACCTTGTGGTACCTAAGCTTATCTTTCTGTGCCTTAGTTTCATCCATGTCACAAATGACATGAGTTCAGCCTTTTTGCGGCTGAACAAGTACTTCACTGTATTTTTCATACCACGTTTTCTTTCCTCATTTGTCAGGGGATGAACACAAGTATTTCCACTGCTTGGCTATTGTGAACAGGGCTGCAGCAAACACGGGAGTGCAGATGTCTCTGACACACCGGTTTTGCTTCCTCTGGACATCTACCCTGCAGCGGGCTTGCCAGATATACGGCTATTCTGTTTTTCAGTTTTTGAGGACTCACCAAACTGTTTTTCACAGCGACTGTAGGGTTTACATTCTCACTACGGTGTGCTCCCTTTTCTCTATATCTGTGAGTCTTTTTGCTAAGAGCCATTCTTACTGGAATGGAGAGCTGTCACACCACGATTCTGATTTGCACTTCTCTGATTAGAGATGGCGAACACTTTTGCTTACCTGTTCACCATTTGTACATGTTTTGTTTTCAGAAAAGTCTGGCTTAGGTCCACTGCCCATTGTTTTCCTGGATTATCTGGGTTTTCTACTACTGAGTTTCTGAGATCCTTATATATTCTGGAGTATTAACCCTTTGTCAAATACTGCACAGTTTGTAAAGACAGTTGAAATTCTGTTGATTGCTTTCTTGGCTGTGAAGTCTGTCACACACTTATTTTTCAATTTTGAACAAAGTGCTCAGAAAATGAAGCAAAGTTTTGAGTTATAATTTCTAAAAGATTTAAGAAAAGTGATATGCAATTTACAAAAGATTTTACTTAGTAATATCAACTATAGGACTTTAATTTAAAAGATAACATTTCCAACAAACACATTTTCATGGCTTTGATTTTTTTTTAATAGTTGCTCACAAGACTGATAGATAATTAACAATATAGGCTAAGCTCAGTACCTTTTGTATACCATTCTCTAAAGAGTAATGTTTTTAATCAAATATTGACATTAATATCGCTCTCGACCTTCCTTATTTTACCTTATAAATAAGTTGCCTCCACAAGAATGTTTAGCAACAATGGAATGTGTTTTTCAACAAATTGACTCACCCAAATTCACTCACTCTATCTGTCTATCTAGAGTCTTGCTACATAGCCTTGAACACTTGTTCCTCCTGACACAGCTGGGACTATTGGCGTGCGCCACTGTGTTATTCAAAACAACAAAAGTAAAATTTAATACTTCAATTACTTGCATTAATTCTTCATAAAATTAAAGATTAAAATGCACAAATGTCAAAAAATCTTGATCTTTATTATAGACGAATAAGTTGTCTAAACACTGACAGATTTTTTTTAGCAGATTTTAAGTAAATAGTACAGGCACCAGCTTTCAATCTAATGTAAACTTTTCTGTACAAAACAGAAAATGTCAAGTAACTAAGGTAATGTTCTCTTGGCCCAGATTACATTTAGCTCGTGCAGGAACACACTGATTAGTACCTACGCAAATGGAAAAAACATAGTCTTATTGCCAAAAAAGTGCTAGGAAATTCAAATTCAGTTTAAAAATAGTTTTCATGCTAGCAAAGTAGCCTATGAGAATTATCTTACACTTGCGATAAAAATATTTTCATGAATGACTGACTCTCCGAAGGCTTTACCCAATGGTTCAGAAACTGCGCATCCAAAGCACTCTGTTAGTAGCACTGGAGAGCAGACCGCGGTTAGCAGGGCAGCATCTGCAGGGACCACTCACGCAGGAACGTCCTGGACACTTACCAGCGTGATAAACTGTACAGAGCAACGACAGCATCAGGGGGAGGAAAGCAAACTAGAAGTATAAGGCAACAAGTAAAAGGGGAAAAAAGCTGACAAGAAAATAACCATTAGAAATTAAACTTAAAAATAATGGAAAGACATCCAAACAAAGAAAAAAAATCAAAAGAAACAGGAGTAGGCCATCATAAAAAGTTTTACCACTTTATTTAAAAGTATAGAAGAGTATTAATTTATATGTTTAAAGTATGTGGAAAAGTATTAAATGAAGTGTGACTTATAATAAATTTATAAATTATGTTCCAGGATAAAAAGAAACTTGTTACCTTGATTTCTCTTTGTTCAACAGATTTTTCCCATATTTGTTGATCATATGCACCAATCTGTGAAAAAAGTACAACACTGCATTAAAAGATCACTGCCTCTGCCTCACTCTGAGCTAAAAGCCACTCAGCATTCATCTGGCACAGATCACTTTTAGCTCTGTCTCAGACTTCTGGGATCTAACAGGCCACTGAAATGAATCCTGAAAATTAGAATTCTAAGAAAATTTAAAATATTTCAGATAATTACATTTAAGAAACTAAAGATATGTAACAAGGAGGGACAGACAAAGCTGTAATAGGGAAGTTAAAGAGAATTTTCTGACTTACAATGCTTTACCACAAATTACAAATTACCTACATATTATTTTTTAATCTTATTTCAAGAATGAGAACTTAAGAACACAAGAATGGTTTAAGGGGCTGGGGATTTAGCTCAGTGGTTCCACCACCTGCCTTGCAAGCACAAGGGCCCGAGTTCGATCCCCAGTACCACCCCCCCAAAAAAATATGAAGAATGGTTTAGGTACACTTGAAAGAGACAGAATAATTTACTAAATGACTCCCTAAGAGCCTTTCTACCTCTATTTTTTGTACCTTACCTTATTCACACAATTATTCTGGTCGTATAAATCTCGTCCACTTTTTTTTTTTAACAACTTTCTTGTGATTCCATTATTTTTGTAAATCATATTATGATACAATATAACCTTAAAATTAAAATCTCATCATTTTAAATCAAGCCACCTGGACTGAAAACCTCACTTATACTATAAGACACGGTTAAGAAGCCCAAGGTAAGCAACAATCAGCTTGTCACACCAAATGGCAGAGCTGATCCACAGCAATTAGCTGCCACTAATCCTTTTAAATTCTGAATTAACTAAACAATCATGTTGATTAAAAACAAAAGGTAAATGAGATTCCACAGGAATAATTCTATTCTAATTTGATAATTCAGACTGACTTTAACAAAACTGTAACTCACTTTTAGAATGTATACCCATTTCAATGCATTGCAAATCTTTTAGTGAAAAAATAACCAAAACTGATGAAAAAAATGGGTTCGGGGCCAGAGATTTAGCTCAGCAGCACCATCCTTGCCTGACAAGCACAAGGTCTAGAGTTCAATTCATGGTACCAAAAAACAAACAAAAATAGGTGCTTATGTGTTTTAATGAAGATTTTGTCAGTACTTTATTTTCATAAATTCATTATATACAAATGAATATAATAATGCCGAAGGAGCAGACCAAATTTTTAAAATGTGAGTGCAGGATGTGGTGGCCCACACCTGTAACTCCAGCACTTGGAAACTGAGGCAGGAGGATCGCCAAGAGTCTGAAGCCAGCATGGGATACACACTGAATTCACAGCCAGTCTGAACTACATAGTGAGACCCTGTCTTCAAAAAAAAACTGCTGGTGCGTCCTTGGCATGACAAAGTTCAGTACAACTACAGCATTGTACTTGTAGGCAGCAGAATGCAACCTTGGGAAAGCATTGGTAGGGAGATGTTCTAAATAACCAACAGGATAAAATGAGTTGCTCTGTTGGGGAGACACTTGAGGAAGAGGTGATGAGTGAGAGTGAGGGAAACTTTCACCATAACAGAATCCCTTACAGGGTCTCAGTTTCTTTTTATGTACACAAGTCTGATTTTCAAGCACAAGTGACTATCTCTCTAACTGAAGGCATCAATTCTTTGCAACATATTTCTTTGGTTTTAAGAGTACTATCAGGACAGACCACTGAGTTACATAACTGGAGGTGCTGTGAGCCTAAATGCAGGTTCCCAAGCTGTGCAGGACTCACCTTGTGATACATATACTCTTAGTAAGTCACCCTTGTATATGAATGTAGCCTGCATTATCTCTGAAAACTGTTCATTTCTTCAGACATGGTGGGGGGCAGCACAGCAGAAACCCAGAATGGACAGTAAAGAAATTTGAAAAATCCCTTCCAGTCTGCAGCCTGCAGCCTCTCTCCTCACTCCAAGCAGAAATCTGGCCAGTGAGACCACGACTCCTGTGGCTGGAGTCAAATCCCTCGCAGAAGCACCCAGCCTCTCATCTGCGGCATGTCACAGAGCAAGAAAGCCTGAGGAAGAGACGAACCATCTTCCCATCTCGGGGTCATGGATCAAGATCTGCAGAGCTGTACTATCAGAATTAAAATAACTTGCCAGGGATTTAGCTAAGTGGCACCGTGCCTGCCTTGAAATTGCAAGCGCAAGGTCTGGAGTCCGACCCCCGGTCCAAAAAAAAAAAGAAAGAAAGAAAATTAAGACAGCTTCTCCTTTACCTCCGACACACAAAACACTTGGCAGACTTGATGTGACAGTTGTTTGTGTTTTGTACTTCTACTACGCAGGATTAAATCACAAGGCCAAGTTCAGTTATAGTCGCTCATAAAAAGAAAAAATAGTGTTTTTTTCTGTACATTTATTTATTTACTTAGGTTTTTTGAGATAGGTTCTCGCTGTGTAGTTCAAATTGGCCTTGAACTCACTTTGTAACCTAGAACTCAACATGATCCTCCTGCCTCAGCCTCCCAAGTGCTGGGATTACAGGTGTGTGTCACCACAACCAGCCAGTATGTTCTTAAAGCATATGAAAAACAAAAAGATGCTCAGGAATAACATTTATCTAATAGAACAATGCCTAGTCTATATTTAGAAAAGTGTTGCTGGGTGTGGTGGTGGACGCCTGTAATCCCAGCACTTGGGAGGATAATGTAGGAGGATTGCTGTGAGTTTGAGCCTGGGCTACCTAGTGAGCTCCAGATCAGTCTCAACTACATAGTGAGACCCTGTCTTAAAACAAAAAACCAAACAAACAAACAAAAAAAGAAAAGTATCTTCTACATTTGCAAGAACCAAAACATATACACTTAAACAACGTTTTGCTGGTAGTTCTATAGATACTCAATAAGAATCTTCTTAAATTGTAATCTGTTTCAAGGAGATAAAAGGCACTTCTATTGTAAGAGGAGACTATGAAATCCTAATTCACATTTTATAGCCCAAGGCTGGGTTCCTGTTAAGAATGTGAAGTTCATTCTCTGGTGCCTAGAATAGTAAGCAATTTTATCAAGGCTTTGCTGTTACTCTTAGAGCTGTCTGAATACAGTCAGTCTCTGCTGTCCTCTTGCCCAGCCAGAGCTGACTTGTAATCTGCTTTTGCTATTCCAGGACCAAGATGACCAAGCATGCTGCCCTCTGGACACTCATCTTGTATCTTCAGAAACAGGCCTGCCAGTACCATGTGGACCTCTTACTATACTCCTTCCCCATAACAGCAAGGATAATTCTAAATTTTCTTGTACAAGCTTTAATTCCTAATTTATGTGAACATCACTATTCCTGGCAGAACATATAACCAACTGCTTCTTTGAAAAGAATGAAGCTGTAGGACACAGGTATCTCTGTCTTCTCTATCTCTAGTATCTGTTGTCTCACCTCATTTGTTTTTCCTTTTATCTTTACAAGTGAACTCTGAGCCACTATAGAGGTCAAGATTGCCAAAACCAAAAAACAAGGGAAAAGCACCCTGAAAGCAGTAAGAATAAAATTGAAAAAAAAGAGAAAAAGAAAAAGAAGAAATGGAGATACTAGAATTTAATGCCAAGCAGATTAAAATGGAAAAGTATATTCTTTTACACACTTCCTAATCTACTGAAGACTGATCTAGAAGGAAAATGAACAAGTTATAAATGTAAAAAATCAATATAGCTACTACACTACATAATACAAGTATATGTAAACAGATGCAGACATTTAGAAGAACACAATAGTGATTAACTCTGAGAAGTACAGGAGAGAACAGCATTCTCCCTTGGTGCTTTATTCAATGATACTGTATCATTTTCCGCACAATGATATATACTATTTTATAAACCAAAAACATGAATTCAAGTCTACTGGACTCCAAAGTAATTTAGTTACAAAACAAAATGTGTTCCATAGTCCTATTACTGAATGGTACCTCTCCAGGGAAAGTTTAGCTCCTTCTCACTTACCTATCATAATCCTAATTTTGTATCTTTCACTACACTGAAATAAACAAAATGTAGGAGAAGAAGAAGACAGAGAGCAGGAGAGGAAAGGTGAGGACTGGGAAGGAAAGGGATAAGAAAGGACAGGACTGTTATGTAAGAGAAAAAGGTTACCTTCATCTGTTATCTGTCTAGGTCAGTTCTAGTTCCTGAGAAAATAATGTGTAATGAATATGATGGTATCAGAAATACAAACACTAAAACCTAGATAATTAGATGATGAAATAGGAAACAGGCACCACTTTGGAATTCTAGAAAAGAAGTATCTTTGAAAAGCTACTTTTCTGCGATCAGATTACCCCTTAGGTCATCACATTCAGAACAGCAGTAGCTCAAGTATCAGAGGCTAAAGAGAAGGTGTCTCTTCAATAAAGTAGTTAGTTATCAATAGTTCCATTAGATTAAGTGCTTAGATGAAAGATTAGGAGCTCACAAATAAATATAAGCAAGGTAAAAGGAGGCCCAGATTTCCTAACGTGTTTTAAGCACCTATTCTCTTCAACTAATGGATATACCATTGCAGTGTGAGTCAGACACAATTTTTCAAACCACTACCTGTTTAATTTTTCTGAATCTCATTTTTAAAACTCTGAAAAACAAGCTTTTAATTTTCTTTTCTTTTCTTTTCTTTTCTTTTCTTTTCTTTTCTTTTTCTTTTTCTTTTTTGGTACCGGGGATTGAACTCGGGTCCTTGGGCTTGCAAGGCAGGCCACCGAACCGCTGAGCTAAATCCCCGGCACCCACAAGCTTTTAATTTTCACAAATACCAGATATAACACAAAAAGATAACCAGAGGCTGCTCTTTGGCCCACTTGACAAATCAGAGGAAAATTATGCACCAGAACAAATGTGATCCACCTTTGTTTGCAAGATAATATGTGGTAAAAGTACAACTATCCCCAAGGCAAGAGGTTAAAGCATCTTTGAGGTAATGTGTGCAAGAGAAAGAAGAAAACAGTAAAAAGAGAGGAGATAAGCCTGCACTCCTGCACTTGGGTGGCTAT